TAGGTTTCAATCTCCGTTGAGGTACTACATCTCAATAGGATGTGAAGCTACAGTACTCGTGGCAGATGCATAGGTATGATCTCATGCATAGCGGGGTTAAGAAGTTAGTGGCAAGTGAGGTCAATGCGGGTGGGATACCAGCGTCATTGCAATCAGGTACCCGATAATTAAGCTTATTTTACTTCGTCCGTTCCAGTGCCTCTTTCACACTTAAAACCAAGTCCCTTCCGGTCGAATTGCACAACAATCTGTCTTTTATCTGAACCAAACCTCATTACTCAATACCACAATGTCTCTGCCCACTGCACCTCTCGGTCGCGATGGCCCTCAAGTCAACCGCCTGGGTTTCGGCCTCATGGGCTTGTCCTCATTCTATGGCAAGCCGAAGCCTGACTCTGAACGTCTGGCAATGCTTGACTTGGCCCATAAGCTAGGCGAACGCTTCTGGGACTCTTCTGATGTGTATGGTTATCGGGTCATTGGGTCTGACAACAGCTAACAGCTATTCTAGTTACGGCGACAACGAAGACTTGATCGGACAGTGGTTCAAGGCCAACCCAGACAAGCGCAAGGACATCTTTCTTGCTACCAAGTTTGCTTTCAAGGACTCGATGGGTACAATCGACACTTCTCCAGAACACGTCAGTCAATTAATTGAAAAACTGCGACTGAGACATACGCTGACTTCTTAAACCTACTTTCAGGTTAAAGTAGCCATCGAGAAGTCTCTTCAGCGTCTCGGAATCGAGCAGGTGGACCTTTACTACTGTCACCGCGTCGACCAGAAGACGCCAATTGAGCTCACCGTGCAAGCCATGGCCGACCTTGTCAATCTCAAGAAAGTAAAGTATCTCGGTCTGTCAGAAGTCAGCTCTGAGACTCTACGAAGAGCGCACAAGGTCCACCCCATCTCCGCCGTACAGGTCGAATACTCACCCTTCGCGCTGGAGATCGAGAGCAAGCAAGTCGATCTACTCAAGACATGCCGCGAGCTTGGCGTGGCAGTTGTGGCGTACTCACCACTAAGTCGCGGTATGCTGACTGGCGCCATCAAGAGCCCAGATGACTTTGAGGAAGGCGACTTCCGTAGCTATGCGCCCCGATTCAGTGCCGAGAACTTCCCCAAAAACCTGAAGCTCGTGGACCGCATCACCGAGATTGCGAAGGCGAAGGGCGTTACGCCTGGTCAGTTGACACTGGCGTGGTTGATGGCACAGGGTGACGACATCTTCCCAATCCCGGGTACTACCAAGCCTGAGCGCCTGGAGGAGAACGTCGGGAGTGTGAAGGTTGAGCTAAGCAAGGAGGAGGAACAGAAGATTCGCAAGGCGTGCGAAGAGGCAGAGGTTAGCGGTGGACGTTATCCCGAGAGCTTCATGAAGATGTGCTATGCCGACACGCCGTCGCTGGATGAGTACCGCGATAGTGGTGCGGACAAGACGGGGGCTGAAGGAAAGCCGACCCATACAGCAGATATCATCGGCGGATCATAGAGTACCACGTGGAACAATAAAGCGCAGACAATGTGCTCGATAACTTGGAGGATTCCTGGAAATGAAAGCTAGATAGACATACGTTCAATTGGACACTCTGGCCTTTCAACTCTTGCGCCGCATACCAAATGAGTCTGTAGGCTAGGCCGCATAATCGACGACTGACTATGTGATGAATGAGAGAGCGAAGAAAACAAATACTCCGAGAAGTCACCCTACTTCAAAAGCTGGAGGAAAAGATACATTCCATCTCTAGCGTACAGCAAGCCTGACTACGACATCACTTTGCCTCACAAACCCAGCATTGAACGTCTTCCAGGGTCGATCATGAGCCATACGCATGTCGAAACAGCGGAGGAGCTCTGGAACGAGTTTGTGAACTTCCGCCAAGGCAACCTAAGGAAGATGTGTGATCAGTATACCAACAGAAGAGGCGATCTTAGTACAATGTATCTCTCGTAGGAAACTTACGTTCTTCCCGATACATGTTCTCTTTCCTGCACCGAACAGCAGCATCCCCCTTTCCATCTCAAATTTTCTGGCCTCGCTCTCTAGCCAGCGCTCTGGTCGAAACTCCAAAGCGTCTTCGCCGAAGAGCTTCTTGTCGTATTGTATTATCTGCGGATTGATACCGACGTGGTATCCAGCCGGGATGTAGACGCCAGACAGGGTAATACCCTGTGCAGGAGCTATACGACTCATGTTGAATCCGGTACTTGGGAAAAGGCGAGAGGCTTCTTTAATGCACGCACTGATATACGGTAGGTGCTTCGTTGATTCTGCGAAGCTGACAGGTGTGCTGAGGAGGTGTCGCTGGGTCTGTAGTTCCTGGGTCGCTTTAGACATGGCATCGGGCGTCCTTATAAGGTAGTATAAAACTGCCCTCAAGTTGACGGCGACAGAATCAGCGCCAGCCATAATACCAGCCCAAGACTCCAGTGTGACTTCTTTGTGTGTGAACCAAGCTTCACTATCTTTCTGTCCCACTTTACGCAGGAGCTGAGCAAGGATGTCTTGACTCTGATCGTCCGCTTCTGCCGAGCGTTGTAGTCGAAGTTGTGTCTGGCGTTTAGCTTCCACCACGGTAGCTTGTACGCCTTTGAACTGCTTCAAATTACTAGGAACACACATGGCGGCCAGCATGATGATGCTGCGCATGTAGGTCGGTGCCGCAGTACTGAAAGCAAGAAGCGGGGCAGCGTTGTGTACAGATTCAATAAAGGAATCCACATGTGTACCTTTCTCCAAGAAACCAAAGGAGTGGCCGAAAAGGATGTGCCCAATTACATCATGAGCAAATAGTTCGAGCCAAAGCCCCAGATCTACCTCTTCGTTTGTTTTGGCAAATTTGTCCAGTCGCACTTTCAACAAGTTTGTGCAATCATCGATCGCATCTTGATGCTTCAGAATGCTGACCATTTGATAGGCAGGCTGAACAATCCGACGATACCTGGTGTGCTTCTCTTCGTCTGTCTCGGTGAAGAGGTCTGCGTGCTCGCTTATACCTCGTGGGCGGAAAGAAACATACCTGCCAATTTAGCAGTCATACACAGCGTGCGTATGGTACCTGTAAGCGTGACTTACCAGTCCGTCTTGGTTAAAGGTTTCTGGGTAGTGTAGATGAGTGATATCGCGTCTGAATCGCTGGAGCTAACTTCGTTTGGAGCAATGCGTATAAGAGGACCATACTGCTCGTGTAGCTCGCGTTGGACAACTTCAAGATCACCGAGAAACATGCGGTACACTGTTGGTTAGTTCTGTGTCAGCATGGTTGGCTGTTGAACAAGCTACTTCCCGAGCTTGGGACTGAAAGCAGTGATTGCAAGTTCGTTGTGGCAATAACAATGCAGATTTGAAGGGGTTCTTAGTACTCAGCAATTAGCATCTCTCTTGCCGCACGATTTGTTGGAGCGTGTGCACCTGAGCCACGTTCGCGAGATGGCAGGCCATAACGGGCCCGGTACACGTGCAAGTGGATGTAGTGTACGACAATAGACGATCCACATAACCCAGTACGCTGCAAGCAGAAGAAGGATGTTGGTTGCAGAAGGCACTCGCAAAAGTTCATTCAACGCCATTTTCAGTTGTCGCGATTGTGTTGATCAAACCGAGGATGTCCAGTGGGCAGCTGCAGTGTAGGCATCGGACGCTGTTAAGTAGATGTGCCAAGCTTGTGTGCAACCACTCTGTGATGGTGTGTAGGTACGGCAGTTCCCTACGTACCACTGAGAACCCCGCGAACGACATGTGCATATGAACCCGGGGGGTGCAGTCGCTACCTGGCCATGCACACGCTTGAAGGTGCATAATCTAGCTTGAGGAGTCGCGAGGACACATGCGTAAGCATAACGGACGAAAAACTAATGGTATCCATTGAGATTGCGCGACGACGGAACATGATGTGGGTATGATGGCGATGAAATCAAGGGCTTTTGAGAGAAAAAGCATGGTTACAGGGAGAGGCTGGAGTGTGAGGGGATGCGCCGATGGAGGAGGAAGCGGCGCTAGCAGCGTTCAACGGATCTTGAACATGTTGCCGCTTTGGGATGGAATAATCCTGGCAGGCCATTGCGCGATTCCGCTGACCTCACACCCGAGTCAACTTTCCACGACCTGGACCTTCTCGTGTATTCGCCCTGGATAGCCCCTCACATCGATAGAGGGATAGCAAGCGGACGCAGCACATCTGTTTGCCCAGCCATTGGCCCCCGACGCATCCAGCAAAAGCACCCGTGCACGTCATCCTCGCGCACTCCCCGACACATCTCCAGCGTAGCCATGGGCTTCATCACAGGCTTCGTAAGTGCTGCCCATCCTTTGCAATGGCACCAGCTAACCTGTGCAGCTCGGAGGCGTCACACTCACCACAGGCGTTCTCTACCTCAGCATCTCCCTACACACACAAAACCGCATCACACAAGCCGCGCTCCTACGACAGCAACGCCAAGTCCTCACCGAATTCTACGAGCCCAAGAATCCAGAACCAGAGCCCACAAGCCGGGAAGCACCCGTCGGACTAGCCGAGATGGCCAAAGACCGCTGGAACAGAAGCCTCGAGGAGGGCGTGAAGAAGGTCTACACAACAGATTGGCGGAGAGTACGGGAAGAGGCCGAGGACAGGGCAAGCGCCATTATGCAGAAGATCAGGGAGAGCAGTAAATGAGCGTGTGGTCGCGCGTGTATACTAGGAGCAAGCGAAGGCGGCGCTATGGCACGATTGCGACGATACCCCTCTGGCGACTGTACAAATATTCGGGCTTGCAATACGACCAGCATAGATTTTCCGAGTAGTATGGTAGGCTGCTTGTGCACCATCTCTTTCGTTGCGTCATCCCGTGATCCTGGTCCTCGAATTTCAAGCTACTCCCCACGTTTTCCTCTGATATTGTTCGTTTGCGTCCGCATGGCAACACCGCGCGTTTGCCTAGCTCCCCTCTCACCTCTCAGCCAGCAACACCACAACGCTTCGGTTTCGTCTTGAACAACAACGCAGCCGCCTGCGCAACCATGGCGTCCCATGGCAAGGTCATGGACCTCTTCGACGAGCGCTATCTCGAGTTACAAGATGTTGTTGGCAACGTCGAGCCGCTACCCACTCTAGTACCTTATGAGCAGTACAAGGCTCACGCCATCGCCTACCGAATGGACACGAACCATGACATTTTCTTCGCGCTTCTCCAGGACTTCACGGAGCGCAAGGCATTGGAGACGGGCAAGGAGCTGTGGACGTGGTGTGTGCAGTGGGAAGTCAGTCAGACAGCGGATCGCCAGTCCCTCGCGGCATCGCAATCAGCAAAGAGGCCTCGCCTTGACTTGGACCCGCCGAACACCCCTACCGCGCAGAGACCGGCCAGCAACGCGCCTCCGATGACTCTGCATGCTCGTTGTATAGATCCCGATCTCTTGCACGAGGAGGACATGTTGCGCATTCTGGTCGATATCGTGCAGGTCGACAGCACAGTGGTGCCCAACTTCATCGAATTCCTTTACAGGTGGATCGACTTTTACGAAGGAGACGGAAAGGCTCTGAAGGCGGCTCTACATGGCGAGATTCTAAGCTTGTGGGACTTTGAATATCATCCATTTCTTGTCACTCAGGAAGCCAAAAAGGAAATTAATCAAGCAAGAGGTGTCGCCCAAGACAGCGGGAAGGACGGACAAGGCGGTGACACAACCACCCAGATGCGACAAAAGCCCGACCTAGCGGCACTCGAACGCAAGACAGAAGAAAGCGAACGTCTGAAGTACCGCGAAGTACACTTCGGCATCCAGCCCCCAAAGCTAGACGAGCCTCTGCCACCTCTCATCAACGTCCCTCGAGACCAGTACAAGCGAGCCAAGTATTACGAAGCTTGTTTCAAATCGCGACAACGCGCGTTCTTCTTACTCGTAGAAGCAGGAGTCACCGCCCAGAACATGCGAGACTACCACAGAGATCAGACAATGAGCCTGCAGGAGACGCCAACGCTCGTGGACGCAGGCGGCCTCAAGAACTACGAGAAGGACGCAAAACTTGCGCAGGCTTTCAAGTCGCTCAAGGAGCGACATAGGGCGAAGCAATTGGAAATTTCCATCAGCAACAAATTGGCGGACGAGGCTCAGTTTGCTGCGCGCAGTGCTCCTCCCCGAAGTCCATCGGGTGTCCCTCTTATCCCTACCACGACTATTCACGCCCATCGCCCGGATGTGACTGACGGTATATTGCGCAAGATCCAGCAGACCAAAGATGAGGAACTCCAAAGGATCAACATCGTTCCTACACCGCTTGTGGGCAAGATGAAGAGTACGCTGTTCCGAGGTGCAAGAGACAAAGCGGGTTTGCAAGCGATGTTCGCGCGTAGTAGTTTCCCATCGATCCCACGTTCTTCAGGCAACTTTGATGGCGGTAGGTTGAACAACAACAATCACGGCGATGGGAGTACCGATGAAGATTCAGACGACGGCATGAGTGCCCCAAGGGCCAGAATGCGTCTGCTGCCTACACCCTTATTGCCATCGCCTACATCGCTTCCTCGTCCGAACCTCCCATCGCTCAAGACGCTTCCCTGTCCATCCCTACCACCGCCTGCAACGCTTCCTCGCCCGAACCTACCACCGCTACCGCGCCCACCGCCTGCGATGACCTCCACTCAACCTCTGAACACGTTCATTCCTGACACGACATTGTTCCCCCACCTGCGACACCGATCAAGCCATGCCGCTCTACCTACTACAGAAGTTGCATCTGCTGCGGAACAGACACTACCAAATGTTGCGGCGCTCATGCGGAATATCACTCCAAATCCCGCAGACCAAATGATAGGGATACTTAAGCAGCAGGTGAGTCTGGCTGTGAGTCGAGTGATGTCCCAGCAGAATGCCCAAGCTGGACGAGCTAGTGTGCAAAGTCCTCATCCTTATCCTCAACCAAATGTTCCGGCGGTGTCTCAAGCTCCAAATATTACCGTATCTGAACCGCAGTTACCTTCTCAATACCAACCGCCTAGGGGTTCCCAAGGAGGCTTCGGTCCTTTTGCTCGACCGCCACTACCACCTGGATTTGAACACCACCATCATTCTCCATCTGGATACGGGGCTCATCCTTTGACCCTTCCGCCGGCGGGTCTTCCCCCTGCCTGGTTCCAGTCTGATACTCACCAACCAAATTTGTCTCAGCAAGCTCACGCTTCATCTTGGCCAACGCCACTAGGACGCTCTGATCATGCACCACCTCCGGCTTTCGCACAGCGCCTAGTAGCTGCTCAAGAGACACAGGGTCATACCACTAGCTATAGTCAGCGACCTCCGAATGCTGTACCACCCCTACCACGGGCACCAGACCTGCCAAGTCTTAGCAGACCAGTTGGTCCGGGTGGATCTGTTCAGCAGCGCCAACTGCCCCCTCCAAATTCTCTGCTGGCTCCTCCTCAGGCGACTATGCAGCGCACTGCTCCATCTCCACTTAACCTTCGACCACCAGGTTCTCCTCTCTCATCATTTGCACCAAGTCTACTAGCCACCTCTCCCTTTACTACATCTCATCGCGGTATTCCCGTTCAAATCTATATGCCCAAGATCGTCATACCCGCAAACACCATCGGTCCCGGCGGACTGAAGCTAGGCGACAACGGAGTAGCCGAGACCGACGCCTTCCTCCTTGGATACACACATCCTAAGAGCGGGAAGATCACCCTCAATCGCGCAGTCTTTCTTCCCTTGGGCGTGTGGGCCAACGCGCAAGACAGAGTGCGAAAAGGTCACTATCAGGTACTGGAGAGCTATGCAGCACCGGATAGAAGACCTTCAATAGCGCATCGCGCTGCCTATGAAAAGGTGAAGCAAGCTTATGAGATGATGATCATGGAATCTCCAGTAGCGAGGGAGCGAGAATTGACAAAGAGGTGGAGGGCCAGTAGGGGAAGGATGACGGCGACTCAGAGGGGTGCCGTGTGGGAAGGCTGGGCTGTGGAGGTTGACAGAGAGATCGCTCTGGGTAAAGAGGACAGAAAGGGTGCTTTTGTGCAGAATGCGCTGGTTGACGGTGTGGATGAGAATAGTGATGAGGCTAGGAGGAGGAGAGAGATTGAGGAGTTGCTTGAGACGGATGAGGCGTGGGACTATGAGGAAGACGAGAACGACGATGACGAGGACGGAGTTGAGCAGGATTACGGAGATGAAATGGAGGAAGGGGATGATGATGATGATGATGATGATGATGATCAAGAAGAAGAAGAAGATGAGGCGGAGGATGGTGAGGATGAGGATGTGTATATGGACGGCTAGGCTCAGATCCATGAGATACGACAGCGTTATGGAGCTGTTCCTAGGGATGATCCATCTCGAAGCTCATTTTGAGTTCCCTCCTCTCCACCAAAGCTAGTCTAGATACAGCGTCCACCATCCACTTCCAGATTAACTCCTGTAATGAAGCCAGCCTCTTTGCTCGCCATGAAGATACACGCATTCACCACGTCGTCCACTTCACCGATCCTGCCCATGGGTACATTGGACGTGAACTTTGTCCTGTTCTCCGGTGTATCTTCCATTCCTGTAAAGGCAGAGAAGAGACCTGTTCCTGTAACAAGGGGGCAAATGGACACGACACGGATCTGATGGGGCCCGTACTCCGCCGCGAGGCCTTTTGTCGCCTGAAGTATGCATTAGTAACTGGGAGCTCGATGCGTCATTGGGACAGAGTTGGGAGATGACGTACATTCCAAATCGCGCCTTTACTCGCGTTGTACCATACCAAGCCTGGCCGTGGCCGCGTTGCTCCAACACTAGCGATGTTGATTATCACACCTCCTTCTTTGCGCTCGATGGCTTGATCGACCCACGCATTGCAGCCAAGATAAACACCTTTGACATTGACGTCGAAGACTTTATCGAACTCGTCCTCCGTGACCGTCGTCGTAGGTTTATTGGTATATGACCAACCAGCGTTATTGACGAGTATATCGCAGCGCCCAAACTTCTCGATGCAAGCCGAGACAGTAGCTTTCCAGTCCGACGTTTTGGTCACGTCCATCTTGTGGAAGGCGAGAGAGGAAGGGTTTGTGGCTGCCGTCGCTTCGCCGCCTGACTGGTTGATGTCGCAGACAAGGACTTTGGCGCCTTCAGAGGCCATGCCTTTTGAAATGCCGGCGCCGAAGCCTGAGCCGCCGCCTGATGAGGTCGTTAGTGAGATGTGAGAGGATTGATGAGGATGCGTTTTACCGGTCACGATGGCGACTTTGCCATCTAGTCTGCCCATGATGAGAGACTTGATAGATTGGGCTCACGATATGAACGTAGGTAGATCCGTTGTATCTCCTCGAATATGTATTCGAATTGCTAGGGTCGATGTTGAGTCTCTATAGCCAGCGACTATGTTGATGTTTTGATTATAAAGGAACAAGGCGCTCCTGCCTGCCATCTCATGGACCCTGATGTCTGCCACCGGTATCGCATCTCCAATCATCGTCGGTCGACTAGTCGTTCTTCGGAGTCGAGCACAGCAGTGAGGGGTAAGCGTGGTGCCCCGCATGGAGTTGACGTCGTGTTGGAGGACCACCGAGGTTTGAGCCAATTGGAGACCGTCCTCGCCGACGTTTCGCTGCTTTGAACGTCTGCGTCTGCGGCGTCTCTCCGGATCGCCTTTCCTGAAATATCCGGATGTCGCTGCAGATACGCGCATTGCTCATGTAGGCTATACGCTGGAAAGTGGGGAAGCTCTGTTGTGTGCAGATGCTGATAATGGTGGCCGCGGAATCCATGCGCCTTCCAAGATCGTCTCCTCCAGGTAACTTCACTCCACATTCACCAACTTTGGTCAACGATACGTAGAAACTTAGAACGAAATGGCGTCAGACAGGAAACACGAGCTACCCTTCAAGGTGCGTCAACACAGACTGATCGTGGCATCGAACTAGCACTGATATATTCCAGCTGAACTCTCCAGACTTGCTCCATAGCCTATCTTTTGTGAATGGCGATTGGGTACGAGCAAAGTCGGGAAAGACGTTCGAAGTGGTCGGTCAGTCATCACAGCATGTTTACCTATATAAACACCGAGATCTGACAGGCGAACAGACCCTGGAACAGGAAAGCCGTGGATAGAATGTCCTACGAACGATGCATCTGATGTCGACGATGCTGTTAACAGCTCGCATGCATGTTTCCAGGAGTACAAGAAGATCAGCCCGCGACAACGAGCACAGATGCTTTACCGATGGGATGCCCTCATCAAGGAGCACAGGGAAGACATAGCGACTATTCTTGTGTATGAGACCGGAAAACCTAGAGCCGAGGCGTATGGAGAAATCGACTACTCGACGGGCTTCACATGGTGGTTTGCTGGCGAAGCCGAGCGTATTCAAGGCAGTGTCTTCACACCCGCGCTACCAAACAGACGCATCTTCACGATCAAGCAGCCGCTTGGTGTCGCTGTCGCGTTAGTGCCATGGAACTTCCCCATCGCCATGATTCTTCGCAAAGCTGGCGCTGCATTGGCTGCGGGTTGCACGATGATAGTGAAACCCAGCCCGGAGACACCGATCACTGTACTCACACTGGCCTACCTCGCTCAAAAGGCTGGATTCCCAAAGGGGGCGTTGAACGTCCTGACCACAGATCTCGACAAGACACCAGAACTCAGTGAGGCGCTTTGTCGGCATCCGCTTGTGAGCAAGGTCACGTTTACAGGCTCGACGCGCGTTGGCAAGCTAGTCGCTAGGATGTGTGCAGACAATCTGAAGAAAGTTACACTCGAATTGGGCGGCAATTGCCCTGTCCTGATTTTCGACGACGCGAATATCGAGCAAGCTTTGACTCAGATCTTCGCCTTGAAGTACCGACATGCGGGTCAGGCGTGTATTACGGCGAACCGGATATACGTTCAGTCTGGAATCTTCGACAAGTTCCTCGAACGCTGGAACGCAGAGACACAAAAGATCGTCGTCGGTCACGGTTCAAACGAGAAGACGACGATGGGCCCAGTGACTACTCCACGGGGTGTCGAGAAAGCACTCGCTCTTGTCGAAGATGCGAAGAAGAAAGGCGCGAAGATTCATACCGGCGGTAATAAGGTGGAGAAGGACGGTGGCTACTTCTTCGAACCTACTGTCGTTACCGGCGTTACACCAGACATGGACATTGCCAATGAGGAAGCCTTCGCCCCGATCAGTACATTCATCAAGTTCGAGACTGAAGATGAAGCTGTCAAGGCTGCAAACGACACCAGTATGGGTCTCGCATCCTACTGCTTCACAAAGAACGTTGATCGTACCTGGAGACTGTTTGAGAATCTGGAGGCCGGCATGATCGGACTGAATACAGTATGTTGACAACGAAGACATCGGAAAGTATACTAACATGTGCCAGGGCAACTCTTCTGCTGCAGAATCGCCATTTGGTGGCATCAAACAATCCGGGTATGGCAAAGAATCAGGCAAGGATGTCGCAGTGAATGAGTACCTCATCACGAAGACGGGTACCTTTACGCTGGAGGAGCAGTCGTGAGATGGTAGGCGCTTTTCGGATGTGGTGACTGTCTCGAGCATACACATCGCTTCCAACTGTGACGCGTCGTGGCTAGCTTCTAGGGGGCTTTCCCTCAAGCTTGGTAGGTCCGCTACAGGGTGTAATCACGACCCTGACCCAAACTTGACTTGCTTGCACGTTTCACCGTCCCTCTGATGTTTATGCTATTGTTGGTGGTGAGACACAAAATCGGGCAATCATATTGTGCCGGGGCGTTTCAATCACGCACGTGATGACGTTAGTGCCCGCCCGCGCTTTGGAGTTTACCGACCGCGGCGCGCTGCTTGTACAGCTCTCGAACTTCCAACAACACCAACTCACCGAATTGCCGGACCTCTTTGAAATATAGCCGCCATCATGGACGACACGGACATGACTGATGTCGCTTACGATATTGACATTGATGTAGGCGCAGACATTGAACCGGTAGCACAGCCGTCGCAACCACAGCAGGTTGTCCAGGTGAGCATTGCGCCAGGCTGCACGAGAAGGCGCAATTGACTGACATGCGCGCCATCGCAGGAGCCGGCCGAGCAAGAACAAAACATACCCGCCGCCTACCTTGAGGACATCATTGTCCACGAAGCATGGCCCGAATCGCTCAACCTCCAGGGCGTGAGCGACTTTGACCCCAACGACCCCCTCTACTGGGCGATGGAGCATTGCCAGTCAGACCCGCGCGTTAAGCAACTACGCTGGGTAAACGACAACTCGGTCAACCTCGAATTCTACAATAAGGAAGACGCGACCGTCGCACTAGGCATCCTCACTCACTCCGACGTAGGCGACACCAGCAACCTCTCACTACAAGAGCCCCGCACAGCGCAACCATACTCAAAGAAGCCCAACAGTCGCCTCGTCATCAGGCAGTCCAACGCTGGCGACCAGAAGCCGAAGGGCGCAGCGACCAAGAGCAACTACTACCAACGCAACCCAGACGTGGCTGGCAACCATCAGAGGGAGCCGCGACGGAACCAAAAACCGCAGAAAGACTATCTCGATTATGGCGACGAGGAAATGGGCTCCAGGGACCGATCAAGACGGGGGTACAGCCGAGACCAGTCCATGGGCGACTCAGGCGCTGACCGAAGGGGCCCGCGCCGGAACGGACGAGACAACCGTGATGGCCGTGATGGACGAGAAGTCCGAGGTCGCGGTGGCAGAGGAGGTCGTCAGCCCGCTGATGGCAGACTCAGGAACGACGACGTTGATTCCTACCGACCCGGCTCAAGAAGGTACTTCAGCGCATTGCCCCGTGACCCTGTCAACAAGCTAACAGACCCAGTCCACAAGAGCCACGCTTCGGCCGTCTACGAGGACGCAGCGCCTCCCCTGCCTCCGACGAAGAAGGCGACGGTCGCTTCGGATTCACAGAGAACGAGACCCACGCGGGCCGCCGTCGGTACCGCAGCCGGAGTCGCAGCCGCAACAACACTCGCCGTCGCCGTGAACCCAGCATGGATCGCTGGACACACGACCGGGCAAACTATGATCGCGGCGGCCCTGCGAGTGGTGGACGTTGGCAGAAGGACTCTTTCCTTGACACTTCGCCAATGGGCCATAACCACCACCGGTCAAACGCCATCGACGCAACATACGGATCAAACAAGTCACGAGGAGGGGATTCGCTACTTTCTCGCATGACCAAGAACGGACAGCCCGTGCTCCCGCAACAGAAGCGGTCGCTAGCCGATAGGATCACACGCGATGATGACGATCCCGCTGAGTCGTTTGGTCGCCTCAAGGGTGACGACCGCGATCCC